CTCGAATTGTTGATGCGACCGTCGCTCTTGTTTGCGTGTCAGAGGCCAAAACGTAAATGGATGCACGTTGTTCATTGTGCATTATTAAGTGATTAAGTGAGCATGTATATTAAAACCATTTGATGTCGTTAACGTGTAGATACAGAGGATTACACAACGTTTTTGAGTCGTTGAGTCGTGCTCCAAAAGAGGACACGACTAGAAATCAGTGGTTAAGTTGTATTTACAACACTGTTCCAGAACACTTCAACCCAAATATTCAGATGTGTGCAGCACATTTTATGGAGGACTGTTTCCTGATCCTGGGAGAGTAGACTACAATGCCGGCTGTTCTGACTCACAGACTGTAAGTAAGTTTTTATATTTAAAGAATTTGCCACTGATGATTCAAACGCGAGTTTTGAGCAGTGTAGAGTAGCACTTGTTGTTTGTCATTTCTCTGATCACAAATGCAGACATGGTTTTATGTTTACGCCGCGCGATGCAACGCAACGAGTAAAAAGACAGTATAAGTCATTATAATCAGTAATTATGTCCCCACTGGATGCAACAAATGCCTCGTTTATAATGGGTTTTAATGTTTTTGTCTCGTCGCTCCGGGACAGGGCATCAACAGTATGGTGAGGGGCGTAACATTTCTGTCACACGCTTGAGGTATTCGGCCAATCACAACGCACTGGATAGCTGGCCAATCAGAGCCCACCTCGCTTTTCAGACCGATGAGCTTTGTAAAAATGATCTGTGCTGGTCGCTGAGGAAATACATCAACTTTCACCGTGGACCAAGCGGAGTCCATCCCGCCTCAGCACACTCTATCCCGGCCTCAGCGCACGCTAAGCTGGGGCTTCCCCTCACGCTAGGCCTCTGTGTTTTTCATTGCCACTGATGATTCAAACGCGAGTTTTGAGCAGTGTAGAGTAGCACTTGTTGTTTGTCATTTCTCTGATCACAAATGCAGACATGGTTTTATGTTTACGCCGCGCGATGCAACGCAACGAGTAAAAAGACAGTATAAGTCATTATAATCAGTAATTATGTCCCCACTGGATGCAACAAATGCCTCGTTTATAATGGGTTTTAATGTTTTTGTCTCGTCGCTCCGGGACAGGGCATCAACAGTATGGTGAGGGGCGTAACATTTCTGTCACACGCTTGAGGTATTCGGCCAATCACAACGCACTGGATAGCTGGCCAATCAGAGCCCACCTCGCTTTTCAGACCGATGAGCTTTGTAAAAATCGACGGGTTTCAGAAAGGCGGGGCATAGAATAGAAACAATAATGTACAGTATGTGGAAAATAATGTTTTTTGAACTTTAAACCGCATTAAAACGCATTTCATTAGACCAAATACACAAAATAATGTTCTTTTTAGCTGCATCATATGACCCCCTTTAAATAAAACACTTAGTATATTTAAATGCACAAGCTCTTAAAAAAAACCCTTTTAGGATAAAATTCCAAGGGAAAAAATTCAGTAACCCATCTTGACAGTTACCAACCATATAATTTAAAAGGAAATCTATATTGCATGCACTTTTATGCAAGCTTTAAAAATTCAAAATATCTTTGCATTTAAAAAAAAATAATTATTATTATTTTAAGGTGTTTTCCCCCCGTTTGTTTTCTGTCACTTGTTGCAAATGCTTTCTAATGTGTTTCTAATGTTAATGTGTTCCAACATCCAGTCAATAATACAGGTTTTAGTTTCACAAAAACCCCAAACAGTGCCTTTTAGAGTCTGACGTGGCTGAAAGTAATGTCCTGCTGATGTTAGATGGCAGATGTTAGTTCACGAACTGCTCCGACTCATTTGGTGAAGGATTCATTGAACTGATAACTTGTTAATAACTCAACGCAAGCCTTTTTGAGGGACTAGTTGCAACCGTATGTTTCGGAGTCCAGCCAGTTGAAGACAGTGCAGTAGAAAGATGTATTGTCTTAGCATTTTTATATCATCACATTCACGATTCAAACTGATAACTATAATTTGCTTTATGCCTGTGAATTTAGCAGCAGCTGAAACTGTTTAGTTTGCATTCCTATCTTTCCTGCAAATATGAATATTTTAAAAGTAATTTTGACAGTGAGGTCTACAATGGTGTGCATCAGTAGTGTATCTCAATTAATTCCTTGATTTCAGTGGAGGATTGATGAAAAGCCGGTCAAGATCGACAAATGGGATGGTGCAGCGGTGAAGAACTCGCTAGATGATGCCGCTAAGAAGGTGTGTTTTTTTTTCTTTATCGAAAATATGGTAAAAACAGTAATCTTGTGAAATTATGAAATATTTTTTGTGACATTACTCCAGTCTTCAGTGTCACATAATCCTTCAGAGATACATTATATTATATTATATATAAATCCAGTGCATCCCTAAATCTGATCTCACCTGTATGTGGGTTAGGGCTGTCAAAATGGCTGAAAAACTCAATTTGAATTTTGTGCTTAAATATTATCAAAATTCAAATTATATTTGAATTTAAAATGCATAATTTCAGTTAGGGTGAAGAAAAGCTTTTGGCTTCTCTCCTGAGGTCACAAGAGGGCGCATCGAGCAAAAGATAACATGACTATCCGTGAAAAAAAGTGCATAATGTTTAAAATAATGTTTATAAACCAATTATAATTAAGTTGCTTAAACAACTAAACAAAACGGTATCATGTTTGTATGCATAGTTTAATACAAAGAGCCGAAAACCAATCACACAGAGTACATTTTTTCATTTAAAAACACGAGTTCCAGTCAGATGGGGAAAAAAACCACCATAAAGTCTCGAGAGATGTTTTTTTTTTCAAAGTTGAACTTGCATTAATTTTACATGTCTTTTCTAAACATGCGGCTCTCTTGTGCGAGACGTGAGTGCAACGGTGATAGATATCCCTCTAGAAAATGCGCGAAATATGCGTTCTGTGTGAACGGCTTGGTTTTGGTTTTGACGTTAACAAGATCATCTCCGCATTGATGTTCGCTTTTCCCGCAATATTTGTAATGAACAATGCAGCAGCGCTGCATCTAGTGGCTTCAACTGGATAGGCTAACAAAACATTAAAATGCATTGACACTTACATCGTCATCATATCTTGTGCGCCACTGATAAGGCTGCCTCCTTATCGCACACACCTAAAACGTTTTTGCATTAGAATGTGGATTTTTATTTTAAATTCGACAAATATTCGAAATTCAAAAAAAATTTGACAGCCCTAATGTGGGTGGATATATTTATCATGTGCTTTATTTGCATCTTTTTGATTTTTGTAGTAAACTTGTGCATTAGATGAGTTTTAAGTTGATCACCTTTCTGTTTCAACTATAGGTTCTGATTGAAAAATATGGCTACATTGAAACCTTCAACTTAGTCGATGGACGTCTGTTCATTTGCACGGTCTCCTGCCTTTTTGCTGTTGTAGCTTTAATTTGGGATTACCTGCACCCATTCCCAGAGTCCAAGCTTGTACTGGCCTGCTGTGTCGTTTCATATCCTTCACTGAGCAAACTCCAAACAGAATGGAGATGACAATTTGCATTGGAGGTTTGACAGTGTAAATGTATATAGACTTAGCACTGCTTCAGTTCTTATCCTTAACAGATCCGCACATACTTCATAATGATGGGTATTTTGACCCTCTACACCTCTTACAAAGAGAAGAACATCTTCCTCATGGCCATGCAGAAGGACCCAGCTGGCATGGACCCAGATCACATCTGGCAGCTCTCCTCTAGCCTAAAAAGGTGATTTTTATTTTTTTCATTTGTTTTTCTCCTTTAGTTTATTAAAGGGTTAGTTCACCCAAAAATGAAAATTCTGTCACTTATTACTCACCCTTATGTCTCTCCACACCCGTAAGACCTTCGTTCATCTTTGGAACACAAATGTGACCCTGGACCACAAAACCATTCTTAAGTCGCTGCCAAAATACATTGTATGGGTCAAAATGATCGAATTTTCTTTTATGGCAAAAATTATTAGGATATTAAGTAAAGATAATGTTCCATGAAGATATTTTGTTAATTTCCTACTGTAAATATATCAAAACTTCATTTGTGATTAGTAATATGCATTGCTAAGAACTTCATTTGGACAACTTTAAAGGCAATTTTCTCAGTATTTTGATTCCACCCTCAGATTCCAGATTTTCAAATAGTTGTATCTCGGCCAAATATTGCCCTGTCCTAACAAACCATACATCAATGAAAGCTTATTTATTCAGCTTTCAGATGATGTACAAAGATTGACACTGGTTTATGACTGGTTTTGTGGTCCAGGGTAACAAATTAAGATATTTTTGATGAATCCGAGAGCTCTCTGACCCTCCATAGACCGCAATACAACTGCAATGTTCCCAGTCCCAGAAACGTAGCAAGGACATCGGTAAAATAGTCCATGTGACATCAGTGGTTCAACCGTAATTTTACGAACCTACGAGAATACTTTTTTCTGTGCAAAGAAAAGAAAAATTACTTTATTCAACAATTTTTCTCCTCATCCCGTCTGCAGTGGTGCGCCGCCATTGTGGAGAGTATCGGGATGCACGCACTTGCTTCCGCTTCATGTAAACGACACATGCGCGTGTTGACTCATGTGCGTTACGTAAGCAGTAGCGCCATGCGCATGCATTGTTTACATGAAGCGGAAGCTTATACTGTCTTTGTTGTTTCTACATTAATTTGAAGATTGAATGTGAAATTATTGCAATATAGAAGTACATTTAAAAACGTTAATGTTAGATGGAATTAATCGCAATTAATTTCAGAAAAAAATGTGTGATTTTAATTAGTAAATTTTTTGTAAAATTCTTAGCGATAGTTTGCAGTCTTTTAATTTTTTTAATTACAATACAATTACTTTTGCTCTCAAACACAGTTTTATTTGATTGAATACAAAAAAGATGTTATTCATCTAGTGAGTGTTATCAGAGTTTAGCTCACAGCTGTAACATTACATAAGGTCAACAGTGTTTTTTTATTGCTTCTGTTAAAGAAATGGTCCAGTTTTTTTGTTTTGTTAACCTTTTTTTTTTTTAATGCAACTTCAGTTTGGTGCTTCAATTTAACGCTCTTATTAAAAATCCAGACATTTCTACAACAAGCATAGATAAGAAAAACAATGTTCTACAATATCATTAGATTTTAGTTAAATTTAAAGGATCACTTTAAAGAAATAGTTCACCCAACAATAAAAATTTGGTCTATATGTTTTTTTGTTTTATTCCTCGTAATCAAGAACAGTTCCCATAAAGTTTTTATTTTGTCCCGAGCCTTATTAAACGTGTCTTTTCAATCTGCGCATTTTTTTTTCTGTTCTGAATTTTACTTGTTTAGGCTTTGATTGACAATGACAAGCAAAAAAGGGACTTTGTCCATCTGTTGTGTTGTCCCTTTGCCGCTTTGATACTTTTATGTTCGGCCATTTAAGCTTAAACCAGGGATAATCGTTTTATGTTCCTTTTTTTGAGCATTGGATCAGTTTTGACCTGTTTTCACACTCAGGAGTGAATGGACCTTAATTTCCTGGTTTTCTTTCGGTGTTCTGTCAACAAAAATGTTCAAGTAGATTATCTATAATTTATTTTGAAAGAACAGTACATCTGGATGCAGTTTGTTTCTCCGTATTGTGAAATATTAGGCTTGCTGAATTCAACAAAGGATTCCTAGCGTTTTTGTCTAATGATATTCAGCTGTAGCTACCCATATTGTATGTGCCTGTTATCAAACGAGAAAAAAATTACAAAATAAAGTAAGGCATTTTTACATTTCTGCTCTGTCAATTTTATTTTAGTAACTTTTCCCAGATCTGATTTGTTCTTTTTTTTATTTAATTGTTTTGGCCACTCATTTTCCAGTCAAAAATTCATATTCCGTTTGAATATTTACATGACAGGATTATTGCTGTATTAGTCATAATTATAAAAAAAATAGGAATGCACCATGTAAATCATGTAAATGGTTTCAACATTTAGTTTAAGCCACTGTTTTTGTTAAATACAAATTAAAGTAAAGTTACACTGCAAAGGTGGCACAGTAGCGCTTTTTAAGTGGCATTTTGGATGTGTTTACACAGTATTTCATGCTGCTCGGAGGTGAAATGAATGCATTTACCAGGGCTTAAAGTTCTCTGACACCGTGCCGGATCTCCAGCTATTCTTAAAAATAGTATTAAAATATTGTCTCGTTCTAGTGAACCAAGTATCTGTAAGTGTATTGTCACACCCCTAGTGTCGATAAGTGGTGATATAGCTCATAATTTCCAAGTGTATGATATAGCTTTCATTCTTCAGGTCAACCATATATTCATGAAAAAAAAAATCTGTTTGAATAAGGAAAGCGATAACTTCGCCATAGTATTCTTTCAAATGTTAAAGTTGCCACAGTCTTTGCATGTGCTGCCCCCCACACACACACTTTTTTTTCAACAATAATTACATTACATTACAATTTTAAAATCAACTAAGGTTTGCATGTTAGTTTACATAACATATAACAACTTTAAGTGAGGTGCACTAAAATAATATCTGAAAAACACGTAGTATTTTTAGCATGGGCCTCGTATACTCTGAAAGTGAGTCTGTGGCCTAGACATTATTGTGACGGCAGAGCCTGTGTAAACAGATCTGTGGGGGTTTGTTCCATTGTGCTTCTAACACGCTGACCGACTAGCATATGCACAGATGGAATGACATTTGGCCCCATCCAAAAAAAGTGGATCTGTGAGTGTGATCCTGCACGTGCCTCTAAAACACTGCAAACAATACACCACATTAATTACACTCCACCTTTAGACTAGGTGGAAATACATTTTAGATTTATATTTTAAATCTGAATATGATCGATTTCAAAGTCCCATGCATTTACATAATACACATTAGGCTACTTTTTAAATGAAATAGTCAGGCGAATAGGTTACCTTTCGAGATTTTTTTTTTCAGCTGGTCATAAGTTTTAAATGGCTTAACATAACATGAGGGCCTATGGAAGCCCATTTCTGCCAATGATTAAAAAATAAAAATAGATAATTGCGACTTTATCTTGCAATTGAGCATTTACATCTCTCAGTTCTGACAGAATTGTGTAATATAAACTCGTAATTGTGAGTTACAAAGTCAGAATTGCAAGGTATCAACTAGCAGGTCTGATTTTTTCCTCAGAATTGAGAGATTATGTATCGCAATTCAGACTTCATGCACGCAGTTAAAAAAAGAAAGAAAATATAACTAAGCTATTTTTCGTCAGAATTGGACTTGCGATTCTAACTCGCAATTGCAAGCCTTTATCTCACAATTCTGAGAAAAGAAGTCAGAGTTGCGGAATATATTCACGCAATTGTGATTAAAAACAAGTCAGAATTGCGAGATATTTAATTGCAATATATAAATTCGCAATTCCAAGTTCATATCTCGCACTTCTGACATTATAACTTGCAATTCTGAGAAAAAAGGTGGACTTTTATTTATTACACAACTGACATTCTGAAGAAAAACGGTATATCTTTAATAGTTCATTTTATTTAATTGAAATACCCCAAAAAATACAACACAAAGCATTCAGCAATCCAGCTGCTTCATGACCGAACTGTTAAAAGACATTAAACTTACATTTGCCCTCTATGTGTTGGATGGGATTGTTTGCTAGCTGTTACTAGATAGGCCTATGTAGGTCAGTGAACTCTGTTGCTCAATGCAGGTCAGACCCTGAAAACCAAAGCTGAGCAGCTTTCTCCATTAATCCAATTAGAGCAAATACCAAACACTCTACTGCATGTATACAGTGACCAGTCGAATAATAGACAATAGATCAATCTATTTTGAGTGCATATTGGCTGATCCTTTTGACAATCAAAATATTGGCTGATCCTTTTGACAATCAAAATGTGTATCTTATTAGCTGTAACTTTTGCTTTGTATGTCTTATATCAGGTGATAGTTTAACTTGAGGTGGTGACAGAAGAGTGCAAACTTTTGGTGACATTTTGCAGCAGAAATCATTCTTGAGGTGCGGTCACATTTACCGTTTTGCGGGCGAAATCCAGTCCGAATCTCTGCAGGATCAGGAGTTTTGCATGAGAGCGAAAAAGTTCGCGAAGCAGATTTCACTCTTGTGAATTAACGCGATTTCACCTTAGTTACCAACAGAAAACTGCTTGGTTTGAAAGTGGCTCCATATATCTCTACATTATTGACAATAGACCATTCTGCACGCAAAATTTGGCTAATGTGACCACACCTTTATGCTGACATTCGTAAATCAACACAGCATTTCTAATGTTCTGTGAAAGAAGAGGTTCGGCACGCCAGGAGCTTCTTCATCAAGGTTAAAATCGCAAAGCACAGCACCTAAAAGAGAATAAATATATTGAGAAATATAAAGTTTAGAATGAAATATTAAATTGAGAAGAAAAACATTTAGTTAAGATTTACTTTTATGCAGGGAGATTTACTTTTACATTTTAATTCTTTATTTTTGTTGACATAGTCTTCCATTGTAAGTAGTGCCGTCAAACGATTAATCGCGATTAGTCTAATAAATGTTTTTGTTCACATAATATATGTGTGTGTACTGTGTATATTTATTATGTATATATAAATGCAAACACATGCATGTATATATTTAAGAAAAAATATGTTTATATAATAAATATATGTATATATAATATAAATTATATGAATATAAATATGTAAATATTTTCCAAATATTTACTGTATGTGTGCGCTTTTATATATACATAATAAATATGCACAGTACAAACATTATGTAAACTAAAACTTTGATT